ATACATATATTGTTACATATTAAAGAAGCAAAAAAGCAACGAGGGGTTTTTTACAGTTTTAACATTTGCAAGAATATTGTTCTTTTGACAATTGGAATGCATAAAACGGACACGTTTAATCGTTACTTTTCGTACAAACGATTAAGTCCTGTACATCTATTATTATTATGGAATGTTACAAGTTGTAATATTATATTATGTTATTATTACTTTATTCTTAATTATTAATTATTATTATTATTATTACTAGGTACAGTAACGACGATCTTTATGTAACGAATATTATATTATTATTATACTAGAGCGAAATTTCACAAATATATATATTAGCCTTCTTACATTCAGGTAATAAAGAATTTTTAACATTCTGTTGTCATGTTATTGTTGCTAGAGCTGACCATGGGGAATGCGTAAGTACGGAATTGTCTGTACTTTGTTTCTGTTCTATGGAATTGATGTGTATGGTAAGAACAGATTAAAGATTTCCAGAATTTAAACAGTCTCTGGAGGAAACTTGATGGCCATGATTCAATACGTCATGTTCTAAAACTTTTAGAGCTTCAGATTCATTCTCTTTGTCGGAATAAAGTTTCAAACTGAGCTATTATTTTTTATCATCCGCCCCTTGCAATGTTTTCCTGACGAACCTTGGCAGAATGAATGCACCACGATGCACTTCATCGTCGTAGTACTTTAGGTTCATTCGATTCAGTTCACTATCAATGAAAACTTTCTTCGGCTCTTTGAAGTTCGTTTCCTAAAACAATAGATTTGACAAAGTTATTTACAATCGGACTGTTTCAGATCTTAAGAAAATTATTTTATAAATCTATTTTTAAAAGGAGTGTAATTTAATTAGTTCCAAATTCCTCAGATGTAAAATACGTGCATAATAATCTTGTACATTCAATATTTCATTTTTTATTATAAATAACGATTACTACAATTGACGTTTAGATCATGCTACTATAATTTGGATAATAATTATAATACAATACTTTGTCATGTATCAAAGCATACTAAAACGTATTTACGTTAGCAAATACTAAAGAACGAAAAAGCTTTCGATGAAGAACATTTTCTGTAGTAATTTCATTTTTATAATTCATATGGGAAATTTATAAATACGCAATATTGGGTTCATGAATTTTTCGTTTTCTTTTCAGCGTATGCATCGGTTGCTTGGCCATTTCAATTTAAAATATATTAAAATAAAACTCAGAAGAATGCATCGCGATAATTTTATAAAAAGCCTGTACTTACTGTATTCAAACTACCAAGGACAAAACCGATTTGTCCTGTGGGGTACGTTGGTACCATTGCTATTCCGTAAGACGCAACCGGAAATACGGTCTTACAATGTTGCAGAGTTTGCGTCACATGGTCGAGGTTTGCCCACGCTGTTCCTGCTTGGCTACAAACGATTCCATTAGGTTTTAGTGCAGTTTTCATTAAACTGAAGTACGATTCTTGAAACAGACACTCTGCTGGGCCTGAAATAAAAATGTCCCTTTATTTTACCCAAAATAATTATGATTGCTACCTTGAATAGATTGACAATCCACGATCAAATATGAACACGTTGACTGCCACCATGATTCTCGGTAACCTGCATCATTGACTTATATGAAAAAACGTTCAACTTTTAACACTAGAACTACCAAAGCATTTAAAATGACAGATTTGTAAATGCCTGTGAGAGTGATTAAAATGTTGTAACAGTGCATTTCGCGAGATTTTTCGCAACTTTTATTACAATATATAAATAAAAAAATTAAGTAACTTACAAATTAGTATAATTTCATAAAACTGTCATTTTTATCGATTAGTTAACACCTTGCCTTGCGATTTTCTTAACGTCTGCAATCTCCAGAATTACTTTATTGTTAGTAGAGTCCCAGAAACAGAAGGAATTCTGTATTTACTGTATATGTACATGTACTTTAAAAGTTAAATATTAATACCATCAAAACAGTGTTTCACTTCGACTCGAAGAAAACGAATAATATTAATCTTCATTCGATGTTACAAGACAAATGGTTAAAAACAGGTACACATTAATTGTCGGTAGTTCTAGTATTAAACGATGACATTTACAATCTTGTAAATTCTAACCAGGGTCCGACGTTTTTATTACAGTAGACCATAGACATATATGTATAGACGGAGCATTAACTAAGCGGGAGAGTAAGATTCGCGGTAAGGGGGTGGATAATGGTAAATCGGGTAACCTCGTTCCATTTCGGTGCTATTCGGGTATACAATCACGTTACATACATGTATGCTATGAGATGAAAAGAATATACTTATTATACGTTAAAAATTCCGTCTGACATGTAGTTTGTATAGATACATGTATTTAACAAAATTAATAAATAGTATAAAGCATTAAATAATAGTATGGCACACAGCCTACCAGCCATTAATAACTAGCCGAATGCATCCGAAGCTAACCGACGTATATCTAACGACCGTTGTCTTTTCCCCTCCAATCCTACGGTCCCCTCGTCCAAAGTGGTAGCTTATGCTCCGTCTATACATGTGTATGCAGTAAACTTAAATAGACTATGGTCTGTTCCACTAAAGAACAGTGTCCCACCACCATGACGTCCCGGCGTCCCCCACTTTATTCCACAGTTTCTGCCAGCAAGCATACTTTGCTTGCATCTGTGTGAGCTGGCCGTTCGCGGGTGTTTCCGCCCCGACTACCTGCGTCACCCGGCAACGTAAAGAATGAGGAAACCTTGGAGACCCTATTCGAGAATCTCACTGGGCCGAAAATTCACGTTTCCGACGCGACGCCCGGCAACCTAAACGTGTGTGTGAGCAACAGTTGGGAGACCCCGTTGGAATCCCATTGTGGCGGTTTTACTTTTTATATTTAATTATTTTATAATTTCACTTTGTAACCTCTCAGTAAAATAAAAACTTGAAAATATTAATTTGCGAGACATTTAAAAAGAAGGAAATAAATTGTTTCCTCTTCGATATTTAAATTTTGTATTATATACATACATATTCTGTTATATATACGAAAAGTATTCTTATAATTAGATGTTACCGTTATTTTAACTATTGGAGTACATAAGTATAAAAACATTCGTACTAACATCCATTAGATTAAAATGTTACTTTATAAATATATCTTCGATCTTTTTCAAGGGTATAGCCGGTAAGGGGACCAAAAACTCTTATTTAATGGCATGCAAAAATTCTGTAAATAATCTGATCGGTATCGTTAGTGTAGTGGCTGAGCATCCCGACTGCGGAACCGGTGTGAAGTTTCTTGGACGCTATTCGGGCTCCGCAGAGATAGTATTGAGATTATTTTTGTTACATTCACTACATATTTTCTTAATTTGTAACCAAATGACAATAAATAGTATTATTGTTGACAGTATAGGGTAGGATAGTCATATTATTAAGGATATCACGAAGGCGAGATTTAAGGAGTTTTTATATACATTGTAGATTAAAATATTAATATTACAAATATATAATACATT